GCAGATGTAGATTACTTGTCAGATCCTCATAATGGTAAATCACAAACAGGTTACTTATTTTTATGTGGGGGTACAACTATTTCATGGAGACCGGTGAAACAAACCATAGCAACAACATCATCTAATCATGCAGAACTTTTAGCATTACATGTGTCAATCGATAATGTGTTTAATTGAGATCCTTAATTCAGAACATACAAAATACTTGTGGTTTATCTTCTTAAAAAATTAAATACAATAACCATACATGAAGATAATACTGCTTGTATCGCTCAATTGAAAGATGGTTACATTAATGAAGATCGAACAAAACACATTTCTCCAAAGTTCTTTTTCACTCATGATTTTTAAAAGAGTGGTGATATAAACATCCAACAAATCTGTTCATGTGATAATCTTGCTGACCTTTTCACAAAGTCACTCCCAAGTATAATTTTTAATCAACTAGTACAAAAGATTGGTCTTCATCGTCGAAGAAATGATCGTTCAGCTGAGGGGGAAAAATGAATTTACTTTAAAAGGATATTGTACTTTTTTTTCTTCACTAGAATTTTTTTCCACTGAGTTTAAATAAATGTGGATGTTCATTTACCCAACTTTCTATATTTCTCAACTCCTATGAGTTAATTTTCTAATCTTTGTGTATTCCTTAAGTTTTATTGATCATGTACTATTAATAAGATTCATATTACAATATAAAAAGACTTTTACATAAGATAATATAATATTATTTTCTCTCTTTGATCTCTATATTAACATTAATAAATTTTTGTATGCAATTAAATAAATTCATTTTTTATTCAATTTATTATATTCTAAAAAAAAAAAAAAAACTAAACACCTAGATTTTATTAAAAGTTTTTAGAGGTACGAATTAATTCCATAAAGTAGTACTAATTTTGTCTTGAGTTAATCACCTAACCCACCGGCGGAATAAAACAAAAACTGTAAAACATAACGACAAGTCAAATTAATCACTTCATTTTCTCATTTCACCAATCAACACTCTTTCTTTTCTTCTCCATTTCCTCACAAATTCACAATCCCCTTTTTCTCTTGTTTGGTAAGTAATTTCATTTTCCTTCGTTGCGTGCAAATTAATCTTTCAATTCTATCATTTCTATGTTGAATTTCTCTCTCTGATTTCCCTTTTTCCTATTTTTAGCTACTGAATTCATGATTTTGATTGATCTTGTTTTTTGAATTGCTTGTTCAGTGACACTGGTGAATGAGTTTTTGTTAGGGTTTTGTTTTTTATTTTCAATTTTGAATGCAAACATGATGATGAAACCAAAGTTTGAATGTGAAACTGAATCTGTAACTGATTTGAGTAATGGTCATGGGGAATTACTGCGTGACATTGAAGAATTAAGCAAAGCTCTTTACTTGAACAAAACCCCTATTAAGCCTTCCACCATAGCTTCGGTTCGGAATAACCGATCCAAATCTGTAGAAATAACCCGTATTTCGAAGCCCCCACTTAACTCAAACCCGAGATTTGTAAGTCAGGATGTGTTGGTAGATGACAAGAAATTGTCTTCGAAATGGAATTGGAAGAAGCCCTTAAAAGCTTTGACTCTTATTGGTTCTCAAAAGTTCGTTTGTCGATTTAGTCTTCATGTTCACTCAATTGAGGGACTGCCTTCGAGTTTCGAGGGGGTTAGATTAAGTGTGCATTGGAAAAGGAAAAACAGTATTTTGCAGACCTGTCCGTCGAGGGTATTAAACGGTTATGTGGAGTTTGATGAAACTTTGATACATAGATGTACAGTTCATGGTAGCCGTACGGTTTCTGGTCGTTCTGTGAAGTATGAATCCAAGTGTTTCTTGATTTATGCTTCTGTAGTCGGGGAACCTGAACATAGCTTAGGGAAACATCAGGTTGATCTTACGAGGCTTTTACCTCGGAGTTTAGAGGATTTATGGGGGAATCAAAGTTCTGGGAAATGGAGTACGAGTTTTAGGTTGACTGGAAAAGCATTAGGAGCTAGAATAAATGTTAGTTTCAGTTACCAAGTAATCAAGGATGAGTTAATGGGATTTGGTTGTAATAATGTGAATGTTGGTAACGTTATTAACTTGAAGACAGGTCTAAGCAGCGCAGACAATGTTGTCGGTTTTAGTCCTGACAATAGGGATATAAATCTTCGGCGGGATCAGAATGACGCGGTGTCATCGAATGAAGCAGTGATGAATTCTGGCTCAGGTTTTTCCCAATCAATCACTTTCCTTTATCAAAAGCTTGATGAGGGGAGCTTCAATAATTCAGCACGGGCAGACTCAGAGTCATCTCAAGGATCAAATCTATATGCATCCGATGACACTGATTTTTCCATCAGCGAACAAGCAGTAGAATCATCGGAAGGGGATTCGTTTGAACTTGATCAGACAGGAATTCAAATAGTTGATATGTCAAAAGTTGAAATCATTAATGTGGATGAGATTATTAAGGATGATGACATGGTTGTTGATAATAGCGCAAGATGTGATTCACTTGAGACTGTATGTTCTAGGAATGTAGACGTGGAAGATAGCAGCAAGCTTAAATTCAGTTTTTCATGTGTTGATCTACCATGCACGAAGGTTGAGGATTCGGTTTCTGAGACGTCAGAGTTTCTTGGCCAAGAACACTACTTGAGTTTTAAATCAGATTATAAAGCACATAAAAAGTCACATAGTTTGGATGATATCATCGACACTGTCGCAAGTGATTTCTTAAAGACACTGACATTGGGGAGTGATTCATTTCGTTCAAGTTGTGATGGTGATCCCCTGTCTCCTAGAGAGCAACTATTAAGACAGTTTGAAGATGAGGCTCTAGCTTCAGGTAACTTCACTTTTGATTTCGATCCAAACGAGGAGGAATTAGAGGAAGACACACTTAGACATAATTTTGGGGATTGTGCTGTGGGTTCTGATTTATCTTTAATTATTTGCGCCGCTGAAGAAGAATTTGAAAGGGAAAATCAGTCATTAGGACAGAGAAGGAAGGCCAAAATTCTTGAAGATCTGGAGACTGATTCATTAATGCAACAATGGGGTTTAGATGAGAGGGACTTTCAAAATTCTTCAAGAACATGGTCTGGTGGATTTGGAAGTCCAATTGAACTATCAGATGAAGAACCATCCATATTACCTTCGATTGGAGAAGGGCTTGGTTCGTTTGTTCAAACTACAAGCGGAGGCTTTTTGAGGTCCATGTGTCCATCCCTCTTCAAAAATGTCAAGAATTGCGGGAACCTCATCATTCAGGCTTCTAATCCGGTTGTTCTACCTGCGAAAATGGGTAACGATATATTGGATATACTTCTAAACATGGCATCTGCTAGAGTCCAAGAGCTTTGTGATTATATCACTAAATTAATGCCTTTGCAAGATATCACCGGAAAATCCATTAAGCATATTGTGTCAGACACTGACACCAATACTGAAGCTCCCGGAAGGTTAGCATTTTGTTTGTGGCTTAATTACTTTTGAAAAATTACATTTTCACTTTTATCGTGTCACTTTCTGTTCCTTTTTCATTCAAAGCATTTAACTATTATTTCTCCGATTTTCCTTATTAATTCTGTTTCAGGCAGGGATTGCGCGAACATGATTTGTTTGAAGAATTTCCATGTAGTTATTTAACAGACAAAGACAAGTGCTCGGACACTGTGACTCTAGAAGCTATAGCTCCTATGAGTATTGATAAGATTGAAGCCCTTTTAATAGAAGGGTTGAGAATTCAATCTGGTATGTCAAATGAGGAGGCACCATCATGCATCCATTCCACTTATACAGAACACAGTGAAGAAACCGAAAATGATCTTGATGGTTTGATGGGTCTGTCAGTAACATTGGATATGTGGTCGAGACTTGATTCTGGTATCATCCAAGGAGAACATAATTTGGAACGAATTTTGAAGATCCTTAAAGCACACCATTCTAAAATCACAGAATTCGATAATGAAGGGTTGAGAAATTGCCCCGATAAAACGAAAGTAGATGGCAGAAAGCACGGATATTTGGGAAACTACACCACAGTTGCTTTTATCATCCAGCATAGAGACCCTCTAAGAAATTACGAAGCAGTTGGTGTTCCAATGCTGGTTTTAACTCAGGTAGAAAGAGTTCACACTCATACAACGGAGAAAGAAACCCTTCAATCTAGATTCAAAATCAAGGAGATTCATCTTGCAGGAGTCCTTACCAAACCTGGAAAAAGGCAAGTTTGGGGCACGGCGTCCCAGCAACAATCGGGGTTACGATGGTTGCTTGCGAGTGGCATGTGTAGCACTCTCAAACACTCTTCTTCAAAATCGAAGGCGATTATCGTTAGATCAGCTCCACTGTTTACAAACAAGCTAATGAATCAGGATATCTTTTGGAGCATTTCATGTGATAAAGATAACATGGATACCAACGCACACGTTAGGAATGTTGATATCATCTTCCCAAATTGAACAATGTTAGATTATTTTTTCACTTGCTATTTATGTCAATTTCAAAATCAATCCATGTAAAATTGTAAATAGTTGAATCAATATTTTAAAATGTATTTAATTTTCTGGCCTTTTAAACATGAATTTTTTTTCTTTTTCCGAATCTCTTTTCCTGATTATTAGGTAGTTAATTTTAACATGTATTTTCAGACGTGTGCTCCAATGTAAGGAATAAAGTAAAATTATTATGTAGTTAATTGTTGCTAAGCAGAGTCTGGCTGTGTTGGTATAAAAGTTCTACTTCAAAACCCTTTTAAGGTAAATTGTACATGTGCAGTTACAAACAATAACATTGTTAAGAGTTTGGATACTTTCATGTTGGAATACCTAGTAACATTAGTAAGAACACATGCAGCACTGTGGCCATAAAAACACATTCAAAACTTCTTCATATAATATCAGAAACTATATGAGTTACATGATGTACAGAATTACATAAGTGCACAGAAGTGCGCAAGGACTACAACCCTGAAAATCGACCAACCCAGATCATATAATATACATTATTGGAGCTAGCTATGAAGAAGTTGGGTGTGTGTGCATGCCTTCATAGGTTGTTATGACATATCTTGAATCATCATTATCCCTCTCAACTCTCTTTTTTACAGGACATCCCTCCACAGAACACCTATAATAATTCCTGCAATCACACATATACATACTCATAATGATATAAAAACTATGCTATAAATTAATCACAAGGTATATATTATTATACCTTGGATTAGGGCTGTTTTTGACCATTTTCTTTCCATACTTTCTCCATCTGTAACCATCATCAAGTATTTCAACCTCTGTCATTGTTTTGAATGCAACTCTCTCCTTAACTTCCTTCTTCCAAATATTCTCTCCTCCACTCATTTTAATATTATTAGTATCTCCTAAAACACAATCATGACAAAACCAATAACTATAAGTTATAGACATTAAATAAATGACATACTTTACTTTAATGAATGAACTGAAAACCTTACTGGTATGAGTAGAAGACCACTCAATGTTGCTGATGCCTGCTACTTCGTAGGCTTGATAAACAGAAGACTGATCAGTCATAGGATCAATTTGTTGCCAATCAATGTCATCGAAACTCAAGTAGTCAGAGATTTCAAAAGACCATTGTTGGTTACTAAAATCACTGTCAGGTGATGATGAATTTGCTGCTACTGGATTTCTTTGTGTCATTTTGTTAGTGCAACTGATCATATGAAAATGAGTATGATCAGATTCAAACAATATATAAAAATACTGATCAGCCGCCACAGTTTTAGTGAGCTAGCTAGCTTTGCAGCTTCATGGTGACTTTCCTATTTATGAATCATAGTAGGAAGTTTCAAATGTAAAATAATTCCATGTGTGAATTGACCAAATATAATAATTTTTGTGGTAAGAATAATGTGAATATAAATCTCAATAACTACAAAGATTAGTCTTCATTTTTCAGTTGCAGATGCGTGCTTAGTTAAAAATAGATATACGAGTGAGACATATGGCCGTGTTAAGTTTTTGGAGGCTATGTATGTGTAGGTTAGCTCGATTCAACAATGACAAAATAAATAGGACCCCTTATTTTCCTATAGTTTAACAGTGATAAGTATTTTATGAGGTCTATTTTAACACAGTTTAACCGTGCGGTAGCCCACCTTACACGTCCTCAAAGACGGTTCTGGTGAGACATACTAAGGATCACATTGGTGATGTTGTTTTGGTGATAAGAATTGAACCGACCCACTGCAATATCTCATTGAAGAGACTACGGCATCAACAATATTGTGGTCGCAATTACGGATCCGAACCACAATTTAAAACCATGATAAGATGACTTAGGGAAGACTTTCAATTTCAAATAGTATTACTGTTTATCAGGCAAAGCAACATTAAATCTATTATTGGAAGTCAAAAGTGATGGTGATTTTTTGTGGTCTATTATTGGAAGTTTCAAGGAACCACAGATTTAATGCACTGCTGTATATTTAAGCTATAGTGAACACAAATTGTCTACTTTTTGTTTGGCAAGCCTTAGAGAGTATTTGTTGTGGAAAAGTATTTAATAGATAAACTTCAAACTGTATATTAATAACTACATGTTGGAAAATAACTATGAGTCCTAAATTAGTGGCCACACATTTTTGGAGATTTCTTTTGTTGTCATCAATGTGTTCCAACAATGGCCTATCTTGTTGTAGGGAAAGGATCAACTCCAGTGTAGATTTAATTGGAGAAGGAGCAGTGACATCTCCACCCTTAAATTTCCGCCACTTCATATTTTTGGTGTTTTTAATTTGTTATTGGATGGACTAGATTTCGCTGGAGGGTCATTTGACGGGAGACTCTATGTAAAAGAGGGGCTTGTCAAGTGATTTTCTATGTCATCTTTATTTTTGTTTGATTGACAAATTTAGAGATGTATCGCCGTACGTATCTAAATATATGCATTTTATTGGTTTTTAAGTCACACACTAATTTTATAAATAAATTTATTTTAAAAATATATCTTCAAAATATTTATAAAAATGTATTTCCGAAACTCAATTACACACCATAGAATCTCTTTACACATAAACTAAGAAATAATTTACTATTACAAAACAGTTCACTTTAATAAATTTGAGTGTTGGTCTCTTACTTTCAAAAATTATAGAGCTTTCTCTCTTCCTCCCAATAGCCCGTTCAATATCTATCCCATAACCATTTTTCCTACCTTTCTCTATTTATTTCTAAAACTAAACGGACACATAATAAAATCATAACGGCTAATTAAAGCTAACAATGAATCGAACCAACTTAAAAATAGTTTAGAATTCGGTTTGATAATTAAATTATTGAACTATATTCATGAACTAAATGAGCTGAATATAAGCGAAAAACTAAGTTCATTAACTAAATCAGAAATAAACAACCCATTCATCTTCTTTCATCTATGCTATCTCAAACTGCTTTCTCATCGTCTACAACTTAATCCTTTTTTAGTTTTTCATCTCCTCTATACAAGTTCTTCAACTTGTCTCATGCTCCTTAAGGTGATTCTTCTTCAAGAATTTTCTCGAATACATTAGGATCCACACACCAGTGAATCAAGAACAGAGCTTTTTCATATTTCTTTCTTTGATCCTTGTGCGCAGCATTCTGAACATCGTCTGCATTCACTTCCAATGTTAGTATTCCATCATTTATGATTTCTGACACATCTTGAAATTTAAAGACAGATCTTCATTTGTGCAACTCACCTCTCATAGTTCTTACCTTTAAAAACTAGTAGATTCATTGGAAGTCACATTGATGTTGTATTACCGTTTGCCAGTATAGATTTTCTTTGAGTCACCACCGAACTCGTTGATACCAATTTATTGGAACAATTAGGATTTTCAAGAAAGATGATGATGAAGAAGATGAGAGAAAAGAGAGAATAGTTGTATTGAGAGAAAAGTGAAAAAAAAATACTAATGATTGGAGTTCAAACTAAACTATCAAATCTGTTAACTATGAAAACTGTGTTTTAAAATTTTAACAACGACCTATTTATAGGCAACCAAAACCCATGCCAAAAACGTACAAAGTTATACTTCGACACAACCACTATATATTGTATTCAAATCTGTCGAATATAGTTGACTCTTCAACTACTTCGATAAGTTACACAACTTGTCAAACACAAACTACATGATGAAATAATGAATTACATATTCTAACATACTGCACGATTGAAATAAATGGAAAATTCATGTGGATACAATAATCAATAATACTTATGATGCTAAGATAAGACATTTTATCACAAGACATATCAATTTCTAACTCTTTTTCACTTAAATTGTTATCACTGCTTTGATTGTTATTTGATTGACCTTTTTGTTGAAATATTTTAATAATTTAATATTATATTAGTATTTCAATAATTATGTGTCCAAATATATTTATTTAATTATATTATCTATTTTATGAATTAAGTTCTTTAAATAATTAAGTGACCAAATAATGTTAAAAGGTTGATTAGATTTTATTTAGAAATTATTTAATTAATTAAATATTGAATATGAGCTCAAATATGAGTGTATGTAGAATGTCCCATGTGAGATATTTGATCGAACTCTAGTATGACCAAAGGGTAGCTTCTGGTTCGACAGGAATTAAGCATGAGTTCGAAGTTTGTTCGCATGCTGCTGTCGGAGTAATGCGTGTTGTAGTCGAAGTTTGTTCTAACATGCATTAGTCAATATTGCTAGGTTGTTAGCATGTTGAATTGAGTCTTGCTTGTAAGCTCAATTGTTTAAGTTAGCTTGTACCCTAAGTTAGCTTGTAATGGGTAATTGTTAAAAAAAACCCATTAAGTTAGTGTGCTATTTTTTTTATAAATAACATGCTAGTCTCTCATCTTGGCATAAGGAAAAATAGAAAGATAAAATCCTAATTTCAAGTGAGAGAGGTTATTTTGTTATTCTTGTATACTTGTAATCTTATTCTAAGAGAAAGGAAAGAATAACTATTTATAACCAATCCATGTTGTTCCTTGTTATTTTACCTTGTTTTCTTTGTTAACCCTAACCCTTGTGTGTTTTTTGATCATAAAGAAACTGGTTATACTTTGTTTCAAGATATCTGATTCACAACAAATTGGTGCGATGAGCATGGAGAAGATGCCTTCAACAAAGTATGAGATTGAAAAGTTCACCGGAGTGAACGACTTTGGTCTGTAGCGCTTGAAGATGAAAGCTCTACTGGTTCAGTAGGGTTGTTTGGAAGCATTGAAGGGAGAGACAACCATGGACAATGCGTTAACGAAAAAAGAAAAGACAGGCATGATTGATAAAGCCCACATCATAATATTGTTGAGCCTTGGTGATAAGGTTCTTCGACAAGTATCAAAGGAGACTACAACATCGGGATTATGGGTGAAACTTGAAAGTTTGTACATGACCAAATCACTGGTGAATCGACTCTACCTGAATCAAGCTTTGTATTCATTCAAGATGAGTGAAGACAAAGTGTTGGCCGAGTAGTTGGATATGTTCAACAAGCTGATTCTCGATCTTAAAAATATTGATGTGAAGATCGATGATGAAGATCAAGCGTTGTTGTTGTTGTTGTGTGCTTTGTCCAAAATACATGCTCACTTCAAAGAAACTCTCTTGTATGGAAGGGAGTCCCTGAGCTTTGATGAAGTTCAATCAGCCTTGTACTCTAAGGACTTGAACGAACGAAAGAAGCATAAACCTTCGATGATGGGCGAAGGTTTGGCCGTTAAGGGAAAACTCTTACGAAAGGATGGTAAGTTCGTCAAGAAGAAAGGTAAAAGCCAACAAAAGTCTTATAGTGGCGAAACATCCGGTATTCAATGTTATCATTGTAAGAAGAAGGGTCACACAAGAAAGATGTATCCTGAACGTCTGAAAGATCATGGAGGTAATGGCAACGCAACCATTGTTCAAGATGACTTCGACTCATCTGATGTTCTTGTGGTTTTAAGTGGCGACTCAAGAAAAGAGTAGATTATGGATTCATGTTGCACTTGGCACATGACTCCAAACAGAGAATTGTTCGAGGAGCTATGTGATCAAGATGGTGGATCTGTGCTGCTGGGAAACAACAAATCTTGCAAAATTGCAGGTATTAGATCTGTGAGATTCAAACTCCATCATGAGTCAATAAGGTTATTGACTGAAGTCAGGTATGTACCTAACTTGAAGAGAAATTTGATTTCTCTTGGTGAATTCGACAGAAAGGGATACATTTTTCAAGGAGATAAAAGTATCCTAAGAGTCATGAAGGGGTCAAAAGAAGTCTTGAGAGGTGTGAAGAAACAAGGCTTGTATACCCTTGAGACTGAGGTTGTAAGTGGTTCGACAAATGTTGAATTCACGAAACTATGTCGAAGATAGAATTATGGCACATGAGATTGGACCATGTCAACGGAAGAAGTCTGGTTGAATTGGGGAAGCAGAACCTGCTAGGAGGTGACAAATTCGAAAAGTTGAATTTTTGTGAATCTTGTGTATTTGGTAAATCCTGTAGGGCGAAGTTTAACAAAGGCAAGAAAAGAACACATGGATCCCTATATTACATTCATGTTGTTCTTTGGGGGCCTGCAAGGAATCTTTCACACTCATGTGCAAGGTATTTTCTATCCATCGTTGATGACTATTCCAGAAATCTATGGGTATTCATCCAGAAGACGAAGTATGAAAATT